GACACTTAAATCAACATGTAGCCCCAGGCTTCCCACTTCCCATTTGAAACACAGGTGGCAAAATAAGGAAAATCTATAAAGAAAAAAAATTCCTCGTGTTGGTGTAGTTTTTGAACCTGAAAAACGCTAAGTTCATAGACTTTACATGTTCAATTCTGGGTACCTGTTTATTTCTTTCCCCGCTGACCTTGGTGACATGACATTCCCCTGAGTTTGTTAATGAAAGCAAGCAAACGAAAGAGTGACTAAGAGACAGCATAAAACAAGGTTAAAACACTGTGTGGTTATGTCTTTTGTGTTTCCTGGTAAAAGTGCCAATGGTACTTAAGAAGCCAATGTCGGGTGTGGTGGTGCACGCCTTTAATCCCAGCACTCAGGAGGCAGAGGCAGGCAGATCTCTGTGAGTTCAAGGCCAGCTTGGTCTATATAGTGACAGTCCCAGGAAAGCTGGGACTACAGGGAGACTCTGTCTCAAAAGACCAAAAAAAAAAAAAAAAAAGAAGCCAATGTCTGTACCACTCTGATGTGTTTGCAACATGAGTCCCTTCACTTGTGAGGTTAAGGCACCAGGTTAAGCAAGGTGGAAGGTCTGACATGCAACACAGAGTATGTAGGCTCCAGGTGTACCCTGCACTGAAGAGCAGCCAGCAAGGAAGGAGCAGAGGGATCCATAGTTGAAGGGTCCTGCAGGCTTCAAGTGGGTCAGAGAGACTAGACTAGAAGGATTAGGCAGTACTATAAGGCACTCCTACAGGAAACGGAAACTCATGGGAAGGCCAACATGGAGGAGCTATAGGCCAGTTGCCCACTAGGTGGTTCATTAGTATAATGCCTGAATCTGGTAAGGTTGGAGGATGAGGTGCAAGGAAGACGAAAGGAGAGGGACAGGGCTAGTCTGCAGCTTCACAGCTAGTCAGAGGGTTCCTAGGTAGAAAAGTTACCATCTTCAGGCCTGGGCAACAACTGGCTTCACACAAGAGCTTTCCAAAGAGATGATCAGCCAGTGTGGCCTCTTTTCCCTTAGGGAGGAACCCCAGAAGAGCAGCCTGTGTCCCACTCACCAAGGGATTCTATATATTAGAACCTACTTTATGAAGAAAGTGCCACATGCTATGGTCAATAGGAACCCATCTTAAATAAAATCTAACAAGTACGGCTAGGCTTGGGACAGTATTTCACACTTTTCTTTTGATGTCATCGATGATGCAGATTTTATCTCTGCCACATGCTCACTAGAACATATTAGAGAAAAACCTTTGAGCTGGAGATTTTTGAATGCAATGAAATGACAACTGTCTACAGTGAGAAGGATGCCAGGTGCTGGCACTGAGACTTAACTCTCAAGACTGTTCCATTAGACAGAGAGCAGGCTTAGTTAGATTAGCTGAGGGGGATTATTAGTGTCTACATGCAGTAACCTGGGGTCAGGAGAGTGTAAAAGAGGCAGGGCACTGACCCGAGCTCCTAACGCCCACCATCAGCAAGTCCAGCACCAAGGGACAGAGACAAGAATTGTTAGTGGCTCCCTCATGCCAAGGAAAAGTGCTAGCTTCTATAAGTTTTGACTCAAATTCTTGGCTTTTTCACATGATTTCAGAAGATGAAAATATAGAAAACCCAAAAAATAAAATTGCACGCACACATCTGTTTACCATGAAAAGAAAATGAAAGCCAACAACTAAAAAGTTTGCTTTGATGCCAGGTAGTGTTCAAACAGAGCGCTGAAGATCTAGTTAGAAACTAAATCTACTTCAGTAATGAGCAGGAGATGGATGGACAGGGCTGATCTGCACATAGTCTGAGAGTGGCAGGGACTTGGCCCTGAACTGGCATCAGAAAGGTGCTTCCAGTTACTTGGATGGTGGCTGTCTTTGTGGTAGGCACTCAGTGTGGTGGCATCACGCTGGTCCCACTTTGATAAGTAGTTTGTGTCTGGACTTTTTTGGCCCATGGGAAGAGAATGAACCTGCAAGGTTGGGAGCTAAGCCTTCTTGAGAAGGTACGGAAAGAAACTACTGGTGCTCACATTCGGTGTACACAGGCCAGGCCTTGCCACAGGGTGCACTGCAACAGCCACAGCTGCTTCAGCGACAACAGCGACAGAACACCTTTGTCTTGGGGCAGCTGAGGGAGTCATGTCGTAGGCTATTTTAGGACTGCAGGACATCACTGTTGGAATCTGCAGATCCCAGGGCACCAGTCTAGAAGAATGAAGAAGTGTTTACCCTCTCTGCTCATCAAAGGCAAAAGCTCCCAACAAGATGGTGCTTAGCATTATAGACATAAAAACAACTGCCACGGACCCCCAAGGAGCCATGAAGTCAAAGGGGTGGCGGAGTTATGGTTTTCATATAAAGATGCTTTCAGCATTGGGAACAGGCCCTGGAAAGAACAGAGCTCCATTCCAGTTGACTGCTTTCTGAACACTCGGTGGCTTTCCCGCTGCAGTGCAAACTCAGGTCTATTTTAGGAACTGGCTTCTTTACACTGGAGTTAGGTGCCAACACTTCTCCTGGGGTGGACGGTGTCACACATGAGTTTCTGGCACTAGACAGAGGGAATTCCTGTGCTATACCAGGGAATGGACCTTTCAGTGGAAAACAGTTCCCTGGACTCAGCTGCTAGCTCCAGGAGATTAACTGGCCATTTTCCATTGTTTTACATGCACGCTGTTTGCTATGGAATGAAAAATGGAACATGAGGCAAAGCAGGTATCAGCTTGGTTTAAGGAGGTGGTAATCCACAGGCTTGCTTTTGCTTCGATGGTCTCTGAGCAGTTGAACAATTACCTAACATTGCACAAAGTAATTTGTTAGACTTGAAAACAGTAAGGGCGTTCATGTGCTCTAAGGCGTTGTGGGCTGAAAATAGCAATTTTGAATTTTCATGGCAGACCTACCCCTTAAGTTGGCTCCATTCTGTCCTATCAGATTTTGGTGGTGTGGCAGAGATTGTTGTTGTAGGCCCATGGCTGGCCTGGACCAGGCTATCAGGGCTGTATGAAAAAGAGAAAACAGAAGCAGCAGGGACACAGTTCCAGCTCTGGATTGCTCATGATAGCATTTATTTTTCCCTCCTTTTGAAAATAAGCAGAAAGCAATGTCCAGGGAAAGTCCTCAGGCGTTCCCAAGGTCTGCTCAGATGTAGCGGGGCCTTGTAAAGGGACAGTGGCTGCTAGGCTAGCTGGGGCTACGGAGAGACCCTATCTCAAAAGGGGGATGGGTAGTGACAAGGGGGGCTAGAGCCAGGGTTCAGGATTTCACTCTCCTCTCTCTCTAAGTCTGACTCTGGGTGGTGTGAGTTGGGGCAGGAAATTCTGTACACAGAGCAAGCACGGTGCAAGAGGAGGAGATGGTTCCACAGCTCAGGTCTCCAGGTGCAGAGTGCTGGGAAAGGCCCCGCTGACAGTCAGAATCACAGATACATTAATTATAGCAAAGGCGAAAAGTAAGCTATGGGGACAGGGAGCTGGGGGTTGAGGGAGAAGGCACTTTGCCACAGGAGCACATCTGTTTCATAATAAGCAGGTCTATAATTCTCTTGTGAAAGATCATGTTCTGCTGTCTTCTCTGAGGCTGGAAAATATAAATACTGTATTTCACCAAAGGGAGGGGGAAAAGAGATGCTCGAATTTGCTTGCCTGCTTGCCGAGCACTGGAGACTTTCCATCCTTGTCTTTTGTGAACAATGTTCTCTGTTACTAGAGTGAGGGGGGTGTCAACCTGCTTTTCTAAAGAGTTTATAAAAGGCACCGGGAGGCGTCTGGTAAATATGGCCCTGGCCTTTTACCAGGCTTCATGCCTTGGTTACAGCAATTGTACAGCCAGGAAATAAATGCATGTGTAGTGCTGAACTATTGAGCTGAAATATGTGGTCTGGGGCCAAAGGAAACGGCGTGGGTTGAGAGGTGAAATGCTTACTCTTAACTGCACAAGTCAGCTGACAAGTCTTCACGTGGAAAGAGGTATTGGGCCGGCGTTTGGAGGGAGGACGATGGGGCTGAATGTACCGTGTACTTTGTGAGCCAGAGATTCCCTAGGGCTTAAAAGCAGTGAAACCCCAGAACGATGAAATGGACATCTGCTCAGTTTGAGAGATAGAGAAACTCCTTACAGAGTCTACTGAGAAGGGCTGCATTGTCAGCACATCTTCCTGCTTTGGAAAGAGTGAAGGCAGGAAGAATTGCTGACCATCAGGTTTCCAGTGCCATCCGACCTGCCGTCTCAGCCACAGTGACAGCTACACTGGCTCTCACAAGGGGACTGTAGAAGGAGGACACTCCCCTCCAAAGAGCTAAGTGGTTCGGTGTACTTCGAATTCCTACCATAGTATTTACGTTAGCACTTTTTACTCTTTTGTAATGTAGCAATTACATATGTATATATCTATTTATCTCAATAATATTAAGTTAAATTCATTGACTCTATAAGTTTGGTATTTTCTTAACGGTTTAGAGTTAATTTTTCAAAATGCTACTCTTGACATTTTAAAATAATTAAAAACAAGTGAAGCCAGGTGCGGTGGTACATACCTATAATCCCAGCACTTGGGGACCGAGGCAGCAGGACCATGAGTGTGAAGAGGCCAGCCCTGTTCTAAAATATGCCCCCACTAAACACTCAAAACAAAACACCCAAAACATGAAAGCTGGAGTGGTTACATAGACTAATTAAAGATCAAAGGTGCTGTGAAGGACAGTGAGAAATAAAACATTCAGAATGACAGGTGGGAGTTGTCTACTGAGGATTCTGCAAAAAGGAACATTGTGTCTTCCAAGATGCACTCGGTGCCCTCTGCCGAGACTGCTGTGTTTGAGGACAATCCTGAGATATCGCCCCTGCCCCACAAGCAAGCACCAGGAACAAATCATAAATGTCCCCCGTGACAGTCTTGGAAAACCATTCTTAGACAGCCATGCGCATTGTCAGGTATGAGGGAGAGTCATGTGATTAGGTGGGTTTGGGGGTTTGTGCCAGCAAACAGACAGAGGACATTCGGTGACTGGTCCCAGACATCCTTTACTCAGGAAAACACTTTCTGGGATGAACTTCAAGCCCAGACCAGCTCTGTTCCTAATACTTTCTTTTGAAGAAGGGAGCCCTGACTTTCTGCAGAGAGGTTGTGCTTCACTGTCCCCATCTCTGCCAGGGACCCAGGGCCTGGAGGGACACAGCAGCATTCTTGTGTTTTAGAGATTTCCTTGTGATGCCATTGACAGTGGTTCCTACCTCAGTTCCCCCAGCAGAGGCTAAAAATAAAGAACACAGAAAAAAAAAACCCAAAGCTTTTGCTGCTGGAGATGCTTCCTCCCATGTCCTGTAATAAAACGGCCCTCAGAGCCAGTGTGTATGTGGAGGAAGGGTCTGAACTATAAAGCAATGTATGTAAACCACATTTTGCTGGGAACAAGCAGCTGAAATTCATGGCCAAGTGTAATTCAGCTATCTGTAGGTATTCAGCCACAGAAGCTCTGCGGACCTGTTGACAAATGAGTTATACAAAGGATACGTACAGGATATATATGTACGTGTATATAAATAAATAAACCTATGTATCTACATCTAGATGAAGAAGAAACAGCCTCGTCTAGACAGGGGTGAGAGTGGCCCCTCAGGTGGTTGCGGGTGAGTGCCTGGTCGGCACTCAAGTGTTCTGGTAGGATAGCTCGAACATGGTGCAGGCCTCCTCCAGGCTCTCGTCCACGTTCAGCCGCCGCCAGAAGGACTTCTGCTTCTTCTGCAGCTCTCGGCGGACACACCTCGGGCAAGGGACAGACTTTTCTTTGCACTCAGAATGGAAGACAGTGCCGCAGCTTTCACACCTGCAACAGTCAACCACAGAGATGATGAACAAGGCCGCAGGGCAGGACAGCCTCACTAGGGCCTCTGCACAGCCTGGGGCACTGTTACCTTGGACATCCCTGCCCCTGGTAAGAGATGAGACAGAGAGAATGGGCAGTGACTATTTCCAAAACGCTCAGCATTAAATTTCACCAGCAACATACTTTTTCCTTGATCAGAACCAGCCTTATGTGACACGCTGGCTTATGAGTGGAGGGGAGTCAGCTCCCACCCAGTGACTTTGATTGCAGAGACAATGGCAGCAGTAGAGGTACTGTGTGCCAGTTCCTTTCCACAGAGAGAGAAGAGCAGAGTGATTCTAGCATAAGCGACAGGAAACATGTCTACTGCCTCCCAACTGGAACCTCGGCAGGCTGGGCAGCCCTGCATCATACACTAGAATGCAACTCTACTGCAGTCCCTCTTAACACACTGGCTTTATGTGACAGTTTAGGAAGGTACAATGGTAGATTTCCATTCTCTGAATGATGTCCTGGGGCCCATTACTCTTTGTGAGCTTTTTTTTTTTTTTTCTTTCAGTCTTTTTGAGACAGGGTCTCCCTGTAGCCCCAGCTGGCCTGGAACTCAGTATGTAGACCAGGCCAGCCTGGATCTCTGCCTCCCAGGTGCTGGGATTAAAGGTGTGCACCACCATGCCTGGCCTTTGTGAACTTTTTAAAATTAGGAAAATCCTCCCTCCTTTAAAGGCCTATCTTTAGAACATAAGTATGAACAAGGAAGAGAGACAGTCAGGAAGAAAATTTCTGGAGAGGAGACATTCTGGGTGGATGACTAGCCTGTTGTTAAGGCCTAGTGGAAGTCTGCACAGGAGTCTGAGTGGCTTGTTTTCCTGTGAAGTTTTTAACAATGACTAACTAACAAGCTCCACCATGTAGCTGCTCTAGCCAGTGACTTGCTGGTGTGGACTGAGTTCTCCTCTTCCCACACAAGTGACAGGAGACTTTTTGCCTCAGGAGCCCAGGGGGCTGCCTAACTTGATTTATTCAGACCTGGACTGGCTTCATAGGGGCTTCAAAGGTAGCTGTCCTCAGGCCTCACTCTGGGCTTCTCTTCTTCCTCTAGTACTTTTAGTCCTGGGTGGAGGATATCCTGGAGGTACTATTCCCTAATGTGCTGCTGACTCATTCCTGACTGACCTTCATGCCCTGGAGAGGAGGCAGTGACTTGGTTGGAGCCATTAGGAAGGGGATTTGGCTCAGAGTTGTCTAACAGGGGCATTGGACCCCTAGCAGTCTCTGTTCCCAGCTCAGGTCTTTCATGGGGTGGGGGGGTAGGGGTGGGGTGGGGGAGTAGTGGCCATTAAGGGGCAGAGGAAAGGCTGCAAATTGTCTCCTTCCTTCCAATTTGTGTCTCCCTGGAGTTCCCATGAAGTTCTAGCCCCCTGGGTGACTCTGTGGAGACAGATTATTTAGATGGTGCCATAGTACCACCTAAGGGAGGGTGTGTCTCTGGTCTAATAGGCCTAGTGCCCTTTAAGAAACAGAGTTTGGGGGCTGGAGAGATGGCTCAGTGGTTAAGAACACTGGTTGTTCTTGCAGAAAACCGGGGTTCTAATCCTAGCACTCACATGGCAGCTAACAACTGCCCATGACTCCAGTCCCAGGGGATCTGATAGCCTCTTCTGACCGTCACAGGATTGCACAACATGGGTGCACTTACCTACATGCAGGCAATACACGCATACACATAAAGAATAAAAAAATAAATAAAAGTTTAAAAAAAAAGAGAAAAGAAACAGAATTTGCTCTCAGTGTCTCTCTCACTGGTACCCCATGTGAGGCAAACAGTGAGCCAGCAAGAGAGGCCTCAGCAAGAAATCCTGCCAGTCCCTTGCTCTGAATCTTCCAGTTCCCAGAGCTGTAAGAAACACATTGCTGTGTCTGAGCCACCCTGCCTGTGGGATCTGGTATGCTATCCATGCAGACTAGACAGCGCCCTAGAGCAAGTGACCTCACCTGAGCTTCAGTTTCTTCTTCTGCTAAATGGAGATAACAAACATTAGCAGCTACTGCACAGGGGTGCTGCAAGCCTTGAATGAGATCATGGGTAAAGTGGTTAGGAGCTCCTGGCACAGGATAAGCTGTGCCCCTTGGGCATTTCTGTGAGGCTTCACTGCAGCCTGACTTCACCCATGTTGCTGTGTGGCCTGTGTTTCTCCATCAAGCCCCTTATTGTGCAGAGCAGAAAACACAACTTCCTAAAGAAGCAAATGATTGTTTACTAGGGACACAGAGAGTTGAAGAGTTGTGACTGGGACCCTGGGCTCCTGGCACCCCAGTGGGAGTCACGCTGCTTGGCCATCTGAGCAAATGCATATCATACCCTGAGCAAAAGCCATGGAGCTTTGAGTCAGAATGCTCATGTCAAATCACAAATCTCTCCACAGCTCAGACATCCTGGGTGGATTATACTTTCTTGGTGTGCTGGTTTCTTCATTTTTTTTTTTTTTTTTTTTTGTTGGTTTGTTTTTTTTTTTTTTTTTTTTTTTTTTTTTTTTTTTATGTGTCTGCGTGTATTGCCTGCATGTAGGTAAGTGCACCAGTGTTGTGCAATGCCTCTGGAGGTCAGAACGGGCTGTCGGATCCCCTGCAAGTATAGAAAATAAGTTAATGCCTTTTATTTGTTTTTTATTTTATTTTTTGTCTTTTTGAGACCGGGTCTCCATGTAGCCACAGCTGGTCTGGAACTCACTATGTAGACCAGGCTGGCCTTGAACTGGCAGAGATCTGCCTGCCTCTGCCTCCCAAGTGCTGGGACTAAAGGCATGCACCACCATGCCCAGCTTGGTTTCTTCCTTTCTAAAAGGCTGCTGACCAAGACTTCTTCCTGCTCACTGGGCTGCTGTGAGACTAAGATGAGCAAACATAGATGGACAGACCTGGCAAACAGGAAGTGACACAGGCCCTCACAGGTGACTCTGGTGCCTGCCTCCTGGACACTGGCAGTGCTGTACACAGCTGGGTCACCTCTAGGCTTTCCTTTTCCCTATCTCTCCCTCCTGCTAGTTTGATGAAGGTCACACCCAGGTCTGCTCTGCCTCCACCTAGGTCAATTCCCCCCTAGTGGCAGAGGCTTTGTCTCCACTGGGTCACACCTCTGTAAGTTCCTATCACTAAAGTGACACTAATGATAGCTTTATCAAATAAATTTCCTCCTTTCTGCCCTCTTTGCTAGTCTAGGCTGCTCATGGATTTATACACCTAGGGATGTGGCCCTAGGGCAGTGACTGATAAGGAGAAAACACCCTAGTCCCTTCAGTGCCACTCCCTTATCTCTGCTGATACCAGGCCCCTAGTTAGGGGAGAGATTGAGTCTTATCGAATATTTCTGGTGCAACAAACACCCATAGAATGGTGGGGGACTGGGTGCACCTGCTCATTCCAGCCAAAGGTCAGTAACAGAAAAAAGTATTAGATAACAAAATTAATGATTTCAAAATAGAACCAAGTCCTATTCTCTAACAATTTGTAACCCAGCAGGCATCTTTTAAACTGTGGTATAGATACACAGATCAATGATCTTCCCAAATTCAGATAGTCAATTGTTAGTTTCCTCCCAAGACCCCATCCCCTGATTTCTCCTCAAAGAACAATGGCAGAACAAGGAAGGAGACTGAAAAACTATCCTCCTACATCAAATTAATAGAGCTCTGTAATAAAAATGCAATGTGCAGGAAAAAGAAAGCCTTTACATCAAAAAGCAATATATGTGTGCTCCTGTTTAGAAGCAGTGTTTTAGTAAAAGTTAGCCTACACTTGGAAGAGATTCAACGGCTCCTGGGTATTAGCTGTCCTGTGACTATTAAAAAATATGATTCAGGGGCTGGAGAGACAGTTAAGTGGTAAAGGACCAGAGTTTGATCCCCAGTCCCCATGTAAAAGGCATAGTGGTACACCTATAATCCTAGCTTGGGAAGGCACAAACAGGAAGATCCCTGTAGCTTACAGGCCAGCCTGTCTAGACAAATCAGTGAGCACCAGATCCCTTCTCAGAAATGACCCTTGAGGTTGACTCTGACCATCACAATCATGCATGCATACATGCATGCATGTGCACATGTACACACACACATACATACACATAGAGACACATACATGTGCACCCACACAAACATGCACCCCCTACACACATAAGATAAACATAAGATCCAACCCACCTAACTTTTTAGTATAATCATCTCTGGGTGAAAATTGCAACAAGTAATGAAAGGAAAACATCCTTTTGGTATTCCTGCAACACCTATCAGATGGCCAGTGTCTTCATGTCTGAGTCCCTCAACCAAGGAACAAACAACTCAATCTCTGGTTGTTGCTGTAAATCACAGAAAACTAAAGGCTCATAATGTCTTAGAGAATGCAATTGCAGACAGGTGTGTCTGCTATTAACTAAAGACATCCAGTGGGTGTTGCCTCTTCTTTTTTGAACATATTGCTGCTTTATTAAATTTGCAATCTTAACCTCAGCACTACTGACACTTTGGGCAGCATTTTCTTTGATGTGAGGGACTGTTCTGTCAATGCAGGGTACTTAGCAGCATCTAAGGTTCTCCCCTCTAGAGGTTCTTGATGCCACAGCACCCTCCCTTAGCCCCTGAGCTGTGGTAATGAGCAAGGTCTCCAGACACTGCCAAATGTCCATGAGGGTAAAAAATCAAACCTGCTGAGACCCACTGATCTAATCTATCTGGAACTGGCATCACAGAGCAGTGCCCAAGAGGTTAAACAGTACCCCTCTCCCTGAACTTGCATCATCTGTTGACTTGTACTCTTGCCAATCAATAAGGTCCAGTTCAATATTCTTATTCATGTATTTCTCAAAACAATTTATTTTCAACACAGTATGTGATTAATATCTGGAATGAACAAATACTAACTATCCTGTGGTTTCTAAAATTAATTCAGAATATCATTTAGAAGTCAAAGGGCTTGGATGTAGCTCAGTGGTACATGGCTTGACTAGC